GCTATTGGCGAGTTGAGACCCACAGACCCTTTCAAACATATACAACCATTGGCGAGTTGAGACCTACAGACCCTTTCAAACACATACAACCGTTGGCGAGTTGTTGAGGCCCACAGAGACCCATAAAATAAAAATGTTCGAAAGGTCCACCCAGCTGCACCATCTTGCAAACTGAAGACATGTTGTGTTTGAATTATGAGCCGAGCTCCAGATGGTAAAACCCTGACACTGTAAAACTAAATGTCGCGTTGAGAACCTTTGCCATCACCTTCCAAACCTCAACCCCTTCTTCATCGCCTCTTGCCTATGACACGGCTAAGATGATGGGAGGAGACCGAAGCTGCAGACTATTTTAATGCTGATGGTGGACGTGCTACAGATCCCCAGCACTAAGGCTCTCAACTCAGACAGGTAGCCGGACCCGCGCTGCGATGGCCAAGTCGGGCACTCCATTTTGTGACGCAAGCAGTGGTTGGTCTTTGCGGCCATGTCAAACTCAAAGATGTCCTGGGCGAGGCAAGACCCGTATGTGCCCAGCAAGACCTTTTGGGCGCCGAGGTCCGACTCGACCGCCCATCGGAGCCTCACCGCTTGTCCAGCACCGGCCGCTTTTTGGATGGTAAGCAATGCCTGCTGGAAGACAGAGGCGGAAAGTATGAAAGGCACGTGACGGATGTCCACTTTCACTCTGCTACCCTAATGACTGGTCAAATAGAGACACAACAGTCCGACAAGCGACCGTCTCCGCACAGCCGACCCCAGTGAAAGTGCTGATAACATCCCAGTTCCAGCTCTGCAACCTCTTCCGGACCAGACCCCGGCCCATGTTTTTCTCCAGCCGATCCAGAAAGACCGTGGCCCAGTCATAACTAGCAGAGATAGTTGTAGGGCCTTCGGGCCCATCCTTGGCTGCCTTCGGGATGTCAGTCTTAGGCCAACAAGCCTGCTTCTCCCGAGGAGCCTGCTTGAAGGTCTTCATCGCGACCTTCATGCATGTTTTCGTACTGGTCCTGCACATCGCAACTGTGCGAGGCAAACTGACCTAAATCGAAACTTCAATCACAAGACTCAACACACTCGCCAATATTGTCGTCCTCGCCTTGGCCTTTTTGCTGGCCTGGCACGTTTCGATATCTTCGCCATGGCTGCTTTAGCAGGCTAGACCTATAGACAGTCCGTCCTTGAGTAACGGCCGCCAGTCCGCATCGCAGGGAATGTTTGAATAATTTGTAGAGCACACATAGTCATGGTTTCACAACGAAGTTCGGCAAAAGTGTTTTAATGCTGGCACACTCCTTCCTGTCTTCCCTGGCATGAATCCTCCGGGCCGCACCTATGACGATGCTCGGCGTCACCATAGATGCGGCCCAGAGGGCACCGACAGGGGCCGTCTTGGTGGCAGACACCTGCAGCTCTAGCAGTGACGCTCGCTTGACCTGGAAACGGGCCTGGAGCCCGCGCAGCCCACACAGTGTGCAGCTCCAAGCCCGTTTCCAGGTCAAGGAGTGCTCTCCTGAAACAACAGAGTTTGCAAAGCAACAGCGACTGCGAAAGCATGCAGGCGTGCTTTTAAATTTCATTGGCAATGAGGGACGCCATCAGCACAATGTCTGTGCAACTGCTCGCCAACGACAAAGTTTTCCGAATGAAAGACCGCTCTCCCAGCATCAACTTCCACTACTCTAAATGAGACACAGCTGCACACACCTTGTCGTAACATTGCACCAAACAGCCCCTGCGAATTCCTGGCATCGAAAACCAAACCTAGACCTATAGGGAAGTGCCAGCGGGTTTCAGGAGACTCAGACCTCCTCAAGCTGTTGTCGACGCCGAAGACATGTCATTGCAAATTGCCTAAGCTTAGCTTGGCACACATGCAATTCTCTGCAAATCAACAATTAATCTTCAGCCCCATCATCCGCTACGGAAACACAAAGCAGCAGCAAACGAGACCCAGGTGCTATCACAGAGTGCCACTCGCAGCTCGCAGATCGTCGACTGCTGAAGGAAACGGTTTCAGTTTCAGGACGCCTCAGCTGCGAACAAGCTCGTCAGACCATGTAGCTACTCAGGCCACTGCATTTGCTAAATCAACTTATTATTGTTAACCACCAGCCAAGCGGCGAGCGGCTCATTCAGACCTTGACAGCTCGAGCAGCTTAACGGTCTGTCAAGCTGCTCGAGGAGTCAAGGTCTGCGCGAGCCAGCTGACACTTCATTCCATGACAAAGCAGATGGTAAGCCTGACATAACAGACCCACAACCAGTGATCTGCAATCAAAGCGTCCTGACAAGTGGCAGCTTGGCGAAAGAAGTCGTCGTTGTGACTGCTTCCAGTTCTTGACCTGCCCCAAGCCCAGTACACTGAAAGGGTCGCTCCTCCTGCCAAACTGACGTCATGGCGTCTGTGTCCTCATGTCCCTCAGTTGCTCAGACGCAGCTTACTAGTGACACTGGGTGGCCCGAGAGTCCTCGAAGACTGCCGGCAACGTCGCTCTTCGAAGACCATGAGGCCGTCGGTGTCGGAAGAACCAGTGCAAGGACACTTGCCATGCCGAAGACAAGGGTGCAAGTCTGTGGATGCCCTCGAGTCGATTTTTGGGCCTTAAAATGTGATCTTCAGAGAAATCCCTTAAGACCTACTTACTAAGTCCATTCATGCATGGGCATGGACATGACCTTCCAACTGCTCCATCTCAAGTCTCGCCAGCGGCAGTCGATGCAACCACTTGCTGCAAGCTTCAAGTCAAGCGCCGAAAACAATGACAGACAAACACGACCAGCAGCTGAGCAGCCGGCCCGACCTCGTGGACGTCTGGGTCTACACCTGACTGAAACGGAAATTCAAGAATCATGCTGGGCATATGTGCCGCTGGAAGCTTGCTGCACCCACCAGCTATTCAAAGGCATCAAAAAACCGGCGAAACCATCATAGAAAGACTGAGTCCAGAAAGGCTGCAAGCAAGCGGAGAAGAAGTCCAACCCAGACCTGTTAAAATTGACTGATGATCCCAAGCCTAACACTGGAAGCAAAAGCACAGGGTCGCGAATCCTCGTCGTAGTGGCGAAGAAATGTCCAAGCCAGGCCTGCCGTGTTGCAGGCAAGTTAGCCGACTGTCGAATGAGTCGCTACTAACCAACTGCTGCCTGGCCGAGAAGCAGGATGTCGACGCTAGACCTTTCGCGGCATAAAACCCAGGAAGCAAAACTCACATTTCAACTGCCTTCCAAACACGGCATCTGGCTAGAAGCCGGCAAGACCACGCCAGCAGCCGACCTTTGCACAAGAACCGCCACGGCCATGTCTTTCTACCTTTCTAGCCGTTGCGCAAATCGCACAACGTTGATAGGCTGACCACTGCAACAACTATCACCGAGGCAACTGCTGAGAAAGAGAACTTGAGGCCAAGCCCATCAGACCTGACACACAATTTAATTTCACTGCAAATGTTCTGCAAATTATGCAGAAGCTGGAATCTTGGCTGGTGCCCGCACCTTCAGTCTGAACTCCGAGGCCTTTTATGAGACTCAGTCATCTACCCTGCACTGTGACACAGTCACACAATCATCTGCCTGCGGAGTATATCAATAACAGCTGGAGCCAGGACGCAGAAGACATGATCAGCTGGGGCCCAAACGGCGCTCGAGGAGTTTGGCCTAGAGGGCAGTGGGCCCTATAGCCCGATACTGACCGCCTTGATTAACGTCCTACCCTGACACAGAGAACCTTACTGACACGTGTATTATTTAATTTTGTCTTCGGGCACGCATCGGTCTGGGAGCCAGGAACCAATTTCTCAGACACTGCCATACAAAGATCGTGCGACGCCTTGCCGAAACGACGCCCGGTCCAAGCCTCATCAGAATCGAGACCATCGACGCGGCTGTACACCAAATTAACTGTAACTGTACCGTGTCTCAGGCAACTAAATTAGACCATTGCCACCAGCGACCTGTCTTGCTTTGATCGAGCATGCGAGACCTAGACCCAGAAAAAAGCAAGAAGTGGAGCTCTTAAGCCCAATATGGGGCCCACCAGGGTTGTTCCAACAACCGGGCCACTATTCTCCCAGGTGCAGCCCCAAGCTTGTCGTTGATATGGAGTTTGGACGCACTGCTGCTTTTATTGGCTCTGTCGGGTCGAAGTCGATGACCAAAGCCAGCTCGGAGGACATGACTGCAGGCAACGCGCACAAAGAGCATGTAATGCAAGCTTCAGACTCCGTGTATAATTTATACAAGAAGTCTCAAGTCGCATTACATGCTCTCAAACCCTGTTTCAGCAGGGCAAAGACAATGCATCATGTCGAAAATTGGATTGCGCATCTCCCTCTGGCCAGCCCTTGACTTGGTAGTAGTAGTCTAGTAGTAGTAGTAGTAGTAGTAGTAGTAGTAGTAGTAGTAGTAGTAGTAGTAGTAGTAGTAGTAGTAGTAGTAGTAGTAGTAGTAGTAGTAGTAGTAGTAGTAGTAGTAGTAGTAGTAGTAGTAGTAGTAGTGGTAGTGGTAGTGGTAGTGGTAGTGGTAGTGGTAGTAGTAGTAGTAGTAGTAGGAGCAGTGGTAGTAGTAGCAGTAGTAGTTGTAGTAGTAGTAGTAGTAGACGAAGTAAGCAGTAGTAGTTAAGTCAAGTCCTTGAGTCCTGTCTATGACACCCTGATTCATCTAGGTCTGCCGAGTTGAGCCAGTTTTGCTGCAGTCGGTGTGCCCCGTCACTGGACCTGCTCACCAAGACCATGAAACCCGTGAGATGGTTCCCTGCTGTGCGTTCCGGCTGCTGCTTGTGGCATGTGGGAGCTCTACTTTCATTCATGGTTTCTGTGTCACAGCGGCCCTGCTGATGCAATCATCGGTTTAATCATGTGACACCTGGCAACGCGCATAGCCACTGATCATATGCCAAGTTCAAGACCTTCCATGGAACACACGTCCTCTAAACTCCCGTCGGGCTTCTACGAACACAGCTTCTGTCAGTGGTGCCCCCAAGCGACACCCCAGCGCCAGCCATGAGCTGGCAGCAGCTGATGGAGATCGGGCACGACACAGAGCAGGATGCCGATCTCAGGAAGATGTTCAAGAAGCAAGAGCGCGAGGAGTGTGGAATTAGTGCGTCAGCATGTGAGCAGTTTTGTTTGGCTGTTATCTTTAAGTAGTTTTTTAAAAATCTGACCAGGAGGTCTGGAGCAGGGCCAGCACAGTCCGGAAGAGTCTGGTCTCTTACTCGTCTTTGACGAACTGGAAACGGTCTTCCCTGGATGCAGCCTACAAAGCGTCGCCTTGTGTCTCCTTCACTGGGGAGATGAACAAAAAGTTTATGCTCTTCCATCTTGCTGCGGACCTCTGCTTCGAGGGCGAAAAGGGCTGGTCTGGACCGGCGTAGTGTAAGGCCTCCCCCATGTTGGACCTTTTCAAGGACAAGCTGGCCTTTGTAAGTGAGGTCTCGGGCAACAAGATGAGTCTGGTCTTTGACGGAAGGTCTCGCGACGTCCGCAGGTTGTCCCTCGGAGAATCAGAATATATTAAGGCTAAGGCATTTCTTTTGGCCTCCTGGTATTAGTTGGTCCTTTGATACTATGTTTACAACATGCAAGCAGGATTGTTCCTGTTTTGAACTTAACACAGTAGTTGGGGCTGCCTTTTGAAGGGGAAGTTTGTACGACACATTCTAGGAGGTGAAACCAACGAAAAAATATCATCCAGGGCTTTGAGGTCTGGGATGTTGTGAGGGCAGTGACTTTCACAAGGGTCAGTTCTCCAGGCCCCGTCAGGGCTTGATGTTTCAGCTTGTGCTTGGGAGTTCGTAGTTATGTAATGCATTCTGATCCTGGTCTGAGATACCCAGGATTGAGGACACCACGGACTCGAAGGAGACGGTCGAGTTGTCTATCACCTATTCCGGAAAGTTCCACAAGACACATTCCAGACGAGTCTTCGGGTCTCAGAAAAACCACGAAATCGCGGTGATGATCTTGGGCCCACAGCGGATCCGTCTTCAGTCTCAGGCCCGCGAGGACCCGGATGGGGCTGCGGTTGAGTTTGAGCTTACTTCGGTTAAATTATGATATTTAATTACTAACTTGCCCCAGGACGACTACAGGATCCAGGGCGAGGACAGCACGGCCTACACGTCGTATGTCAAGGTGCCGTACCCCGAGACTGAGGGTCTCCCGCGAGTCCCCTTCAAGGTCAAGGCCAAAGTCTTGGGCTTGGACTTGCCTAGGGACGAAGACAAGTCACCTGGCAGCCTGAATCACAGGAGAGATGAGGTCTGAAAGGGGAAGGTCTCCCGAGTCTTTTGGTGTTCCTTTCTTTGCAACCCAGGTGGCCCAAGGACTGGTCTTTCGGCGAGAACGTTCCGATGTTCTGGTCTGAGACGAAGTGCTCTGGGCTTTACGAGGCCATCTTGGACAATTACCAGATCGCCATGGTCTGTGACCTGTCTCCTTCGTCGGCCCTAATGGCGGCCTGTCTCTCGAGAAACATCAGGTATCATGGTCTAACATTGTCTGATCAGCACACGGAGTTTCTTGAGAGACTGTCGGATCGAGAAGCCATCCGCCACATCTGTTGCAAAGAGCACCCTCTCTGGCAGGAGGACCTTGCAGGTCTCCTCAACAGCCATTTCCCGACGGAGGCCAACCCGGTCTCGTCTGGGAAGAATCAGGCTAATCCGGCCACGCCGCCGGAGTGAGGTCTTAGGTCTTGATGCTATCCCAAGATCTAACTGCTCAGCCGGGAAGTGTGCCGCATGTGCTCGTTCTAGCCTCTGGACTCTGGTCTCTGCAGGGTCATGGTCTTGTCGGACCGGGCCACCCCCAGCAGAATGATTCATAGCTTCGGGCCATCATTTGGGCTTTCAATGTTTAAACACTATACTTCAATCCACTTTCGGTGTTTGCAACTTGCTTCGTGGTCTTTGGTCTGCAAGGCAAATTTTGATGTGTGCCACCGAGGGCACCGATGTACGAGCAGCCCTGGAGGTCTGGTCTCCTCAAAGTTCTCTTTTTAATGACTGGTCCACCTGGCAGAGACATCAATTATTGATAGCTTTTGGCCATTTGGGCTTTCCAATCTTTTGGTCCTTCTAGTGTGTGCATCCGTCGCTAGCCTGCTCGGGTGGACCGAGGCTGGGTCTAAGATTGGCGTGCCACTGGGACACAGTCCTCAGTTTTCCTTTAGCAGCACGGTACCACTGGCCAAGCACATGTCTGCGACAGGTCTGGGCTGAAGCATAATATTAATTGGAATGGCTTAGGGCGCTATCAGACTGTCTCGGTGGACCACGCTGCAGACTGACAGCTTCATTCGATTGTCTGATGGACCAGTGAGAAGGACCCATGCAAAACAACGTATGCTTTGCGATTGTATGCATTTTCCTATTCGATCCAAGAGCTCACGGGTCTGAGTCTCTGACTGCCATGTTGCCCAGGTCAGAATGTCACTGGCCAATGTCGTGCCGGGGCAGGCGCAGCTGCTTGCCTTTGGTTTGATAATAAATAAAAAGTATATACGTACATATGCAGATATATAACTTATTTAATACATATATGTATATATATATAATAATATGTAATACATACACAGTCGTTCTTGTCGTGGGGTCCATTCCGGTCAAGGATCGAACCTGAGGTCTCAGTCTAGATTGACATTTGCAAGACATTATTATTATTGAAGGGAGGCAGGCAATGCATCAGCACCAAAGCCGAGGTCTGCAACCAGAACAGTGTGCTTCTTTGCCGGGAGGTCTGGACCCAGGCCAGCAAGTGTCTTGTTCGTTTTGGAAATTCGTAGTCAGCAGTAGCAGTAGTAGGCGTCCAGGTAGCAGTAAGAAATTAAAGCAGTCGTAGTTAGTAGTCCTCGTCATGGTCAGTAGTAGTAACAGTAGACCTTTGGAACATTTTTTATTTCATGGGGTCTCTGTGGGTTTCAACAACTCGCCAATAGTTGTATATGTTTGAAAGGGTCTGTGGGTCTCAACTCGCCAATAGTTGTATATGCTTGAAAGGGTCTGTGGGTCTCAACTCGCCAATAGTTGTATATGTTTGAAAGGGTCTGTGGGTCTCAACTCGCCAATAGTTGTAAAGGTTTGAAAGGGTCTGTGGGTCTCAACTCGCCAATAGCTGTATATGTTTGAAAGGGTCTGTGGGTCTCAACTCGCCAATAGCTGTCTATGTTCGAGGGATGTCACCAAACGAACTTTCCACAACAACCTTCAACATATCATTGACTTCGTTTCGTGAGCAATCCCAGGTTCATGTCATGTCTGTCCTTAGGAGCCGCTTTGGATTTGTTCACAGGTCTTTGGGTTTAGGAAGGTTGTGCTTGTTCTTTCAGAAGGTCTGAACTTCTTCGCAGGTCGTTGGATATGCGGGGTTTGGGATTCACGGCAAAGGTCTTGGGGTCTTTTTATTTTGGTCTGCACAGTAGTAGTAGTCCTCGTGTAGCAGGAAGCAAGAGTACCAGTAATTGTATTACTGGCAGTATTAGGAATAGTAGTATTTAGTAGTAGGTGCACTAAGGTAGAAGTAATCATAGCAGCAGTAGAAAAAATGGTACTGAAATATTAGTATTAGTGGCAGTATTTGATGTTGTTGTTGTTGTCATGCACAATCGTAGTAGCAGTAGCAGTAAATAGCAGTAATACTAGTAGTTGCAGTAGTTACTAGTATATACGAGGAGGAGGAGGAGGAGGAGGTATAGTAGTGGTAGTACTTATAGGTAATACTCGGTCACTTACTGATAGACTGATAGTCTTCGTACTGGCTTTCCGGCTCCTTTTCTGGTTTTGGTAGCGGTAGTGGTAGCAGTATGTGACTGTGAACACATTGAGTAGCAGTAGCAGCAGCAGCAGTAGGAGTAGTAGTAGTAGGAGTAGTAGTAGTAGTAGTAGTAGTAGTAGTAGTAGTAGTAGTAGTCGTAGTAGTAGTAGTAGTAGCAGCAGTAGCAGTAGCAGTAGCAGTAGCAGTAGCAGCAGTAGTAGTAGCGTAGTAGTAGTAGTAGTAGTGGTGGTATTCGTAGTAGCTGTTTCTGTTGTCTAGTAGTTGTTGTGCTGGTAGGGGCAAGACACACGGGATATCCCGCAAACACTTCAACATGATGTCTGCAGCCGCCTCTTCAGCCAAGGCCAGGTCTTATAGCCAAGGCCAGGTCTTGTAGCCAAGGCCAGGTCTTACAGCCAAGGCCAGGTCTTATCGCTGAACAAGCGCCTGCAGGTCATGGCCGTGTCTTTCGAAGGGGGTCGTGACGACCTAGAGATGCTCCTGATCAAAGGACGGGTCGGTCTTCCGCCAAAAATGATCCGTCAGATGACGGTTATTTGGTGGACAGCTTACACCACCAGTCTTCGGGAAGAGCTGCCTGGCGAGCCATTTCCAGAGTTTTTGGAGCGATACTTGTACAGGACTCAGTCCTGTCTCCAGAGGTGGTACCCCAGTGGGTCTCTCGCGTCTAGGTCAAAATCCTTCGAGGTCAAGTGGGTGCAGAAGGTCTTGGAGAAGATATTCCAAGTGGAAGTGGAGCCCGAGGAGGACTTACTATCGGGCTGAGACGGCGATAATTAGACTCTGTCCAGGACTTTGTCTTGGTCCGTCCAGGACTTTGTCTTGGTCTCTCACCAGGACTCACACCAGGACTCTAGGTCTTGGTCTGATTTTGGTCTTGGTCTGATTTAATTAGTCTTGGTCTGTTGCAGTGGCCGCCGACCAAAGGGGGAAAAGTAAAGGACCGGCTGGCGCACCTACTTTCAGACATGACATCTGGGAGAACGTTGAGTGCATGGTCTCTCAAAGCATGCAGCATGGTCTCTTGTCTTCCTTTGCTGCTGCTGTGGTTCGGAGGAGGCCTCGTTTCAGGGGATCGGGCGAGGCCGGCGGACTAGGGCGAGACTGAGGAGGTTTTCAAAGTTTTTTTCATGGGCTTAGAGGACTTCGGCGATTAGGTCGAGCCATGGTGGTTCGACCTCGAGAAAAACTGTCTGACAGTGTCGTGCTAAAGGACAGGCCACGCCGGCATCGTGCTGCAGATCTTCGGGCAGCCACGTCTGGGCCGAAGGTTTCGGTCTCAGTCTCTGAGGTACCCCGAAAGAAAGCAGCTCGCCAGGACGAAGATGGAATGACTGCAATGCAGAAGTTTCGTATTCGTGGCAAGACATGGCAAATGTCGGTCGGCTCTCATTCTGAGAACGGGTCTCGTACGGTCTGGCTGGAGGAGCGCTGCCGTCCAAAGTGGGGTCTTGGATGTGTACTTTGTGCGCAGATGGTTCTTCGTCTACAGCTGGACAAGGGCTCTGCAAAAATGAGGCGCAGCTACAGCACAAAATGGAGCCGTTTCGAGATTGACGGCATTGCCAGCATGCAAACGTGTGCATTCAAGAAGCACAGC